CAGGAATGATTTTCTTGTATCAAAACAAGAACAGCTACAAACAGTAATGATACTCTCCCAAATTCATGTCACATGTTTGCTTGGGGGATAGAGCCCCTAAAGGCTCAGATAACTTAAATAGTTCTTGAAGTCTGGATGCTCGATTTAGTTAAAGGAAACAATATGCAATAAAATTGTCAAACTGATCTTATTACTGTAGTGCTGATGGTCTTTTGGCTTGTGGTGTTGCTTGCTGTAGTGTATTGAAAGCCTTTTCAGAGGTGTTGCAGTTCTTATGCAATCACTGTGTATGTTCTACTGCATAAAATGCTGACCTGTAAAGTGGAACAGATCCTGTGTTCAGTATTTACTTAGAGAAAGTAAGTAGTCTCATACTGAAAACTGCAAGAAGTGTACTTGGAAAACAAAGCTTTCTTCCTATTAAGTGCTTTGATATTGATTAATCTCTATAATAATGCATGAAGATTTTTTTTTAATATTTTCAAAAGTAATTTTTTGTCTTTGCTGGCAGCATGCAGGGGCTAATTCAGCTCAGATTTTAATTATATCTTTCTGTAGTTTGCTATTCAGAGATCATAAGTTGTTGGATGACTCTAATGAAGGATTAGAAAAGGGGTTGAAGTGCTAGAGGTTGAATTCACTAGAATGTTAGTTGATGAATTAGGTGAGTAACTAGAGGAAGAATCTGGTAAAGGATAAGCAGCAGAACCTGAGCAAATAAGATCCAGTGGTAAATCAGTAGAAGTAGTAAAGTGCGGATTGGAGGAAGCATCTAATGAAATACTGATGAGTGAAACAGGGGCTGAACTGGGATAATGCAACTTCTTTACTGCCTGCACTGGATGAGGATATCTGTTTAGATGAGTGCTCTAAGCACTGGTTAGCCTCATCTGGAGTATTGTGTCCAGTTCTCAGTTCACCAGTACAAGAGATGGAGTTACGGGATAGAGTCCAGTGAAGGGCCACTAAGACAGTTAAGGGACTGGAGCTTATAACGTGGATGTGCCACTACTGCCAAAGTTTCTGGGATATTACAGCTACTTTACCCTCTCCTTTGGAGGAATAGGGGTACATCTTACCTTGTGGAAACAGTGGACATAACAGAATTCCTCAATGGTGACGTCAAGGCATGCTTCCAAAAACATTCTCCCCCTGTTTAACACCCAAGTTTGTTTATTCAAAAGCAGGTTACCTACTTCATGTAGTCCTACAACCTGTGTTGAGCTTTAAATTCTGAGTAAAAGCTCTTGTAATTTTTCTTGACAGAAAGCTTCAAAGTGAGCACTTCTTTTTTCCTTTTTTTTTTTTTTTTTTTTTTTTTTTTTTTTCTTTTTGCTTTAAGATGCTTAAGACATTCTCTGATATGGGGAACTGAGACTCAAAACAATTTTCTCAGGGCTTTGTATAAAAAGTGTCCACAACAATCTCTTCATTTACATGAATGTTTAAGATAATCCAGTGTAAAAATATAGCTGAATGTAGTGCATTTGCTAATGCCAAAAGCAAGCAGTAGAATTGTATGTGTAACACGAATATTTGTGTTGGTGAACCGAGCCCTTGTAGTTTCTGCTGTGTTGAAACACCCACAGCTGGTGGGACAGCTTTTGTCCTGAAGAATAAGGGAATTCATCTAATAAAAAGGAGTTTTCAACTTTGAATTTTCTGTGGAACTAGTGACTTTTTAAAGAGCTACTTGAGTTATAATTGGTTTTATAAGCAGCTGAATAAGGACTGAGGTCATGCTTTCTAGAATGTGCACTGGTGGAATTAAAGATAAAATTGAATATATGCTTTGAAATGTTTGCACCTTTTATACAGTTTGAAGTAGTATGTAGTGAAGCACATAGAGTGCAGGTGGGACTCTCTGTATCCTGATTGCCATTGAATATGTAAAAAGAACATTCAGATGCATAATCCCTATAAATTAAGTGATGTGAAGGATTTCTAAAGTTGTGCCATGAATCAAGTCTGTTAAACTCCACTGAGCTATGTTGCACTGCGATTGCAGTTACAGAGAGTTTTCTTTATAAACAGAGGCATCTTTATTCATCTGTAAAAAAGAGGAGAATGTATGAAGACTTCTGTGGTGATTTGTAACTGATGAGTCCCTTCAGACTTCTCAAATGAAAATTTGTAATACTGTTGAAGACAGCTCTGAACGCTTCCAAATTGAGCAAAGTTAATGTTACGTGCTCTGTGTTGCACCGAAATTAACTGTGCTCATCACAATATCTCTTCAGTGGTTTACAGGCAAATTCTTCGTAAAAAATAAGGGTGCATGAAGGCTAGTGCATCTGAAAACTTGTTCTGATAAGATGACAGGTGGTTTACTCAACTTTTGAGATGTGTACTTGCTTTCTGGAACAGCTGATTTGCAGCAGAACCTGCTTTTTCCTAGTGACCTCTTCTGGTGATAGTTTTTGGTCTCTTTGATGTACAGGTGAATGGTAAGCCTTGTAACAGAAGAAACATAATGCTTCTTATGCAGTACTAGCTTTTAGATTGCAAAGTACTGCCTTGGAATGTCAGTTCCTGGTTAGATGGTAAGCAGATATGTAACTGTCCTTTGAAATGAGAACTGTCTGTTTACTCTTCATAAAGGGATTGATTTCTTGTTTCAGTAAGTTTGTTTTATACTTAAACTATGTCTGACTCAATTTATAGATGGTGTGTGCCTTTATTTGGTTTATTTGTATTGCAGGTAGTGTTTTGTTCATATTTTACTTGTGAACTTTTCAAGGACATTCTTATGCTGTATTTTAACAGTTCATAGTGAGGGAAGGATCCCAGTGTTAACACTGGTAATGCAGGTGTATTGATTAAAGACTGCTGCTTCAGAGACTGTGATTTGTTTTAATGTAGGAGAAAATGCTTGACGCTGATTCTGGGCTGTTAAAGAATTGACTTAGTTTTGGTTTAGAGGCTTTTCAGATTCTCACTTCAAGAACAGGTTATATGTCAGAAGCGATTGTCAGTAAGGAGTTGTATTGGAAGATGGAATGGATATCACAAGAGCCTAACACTACCCATAAGTAGTTCAACTCCACTAGTTCATTACACTAATTACATTAGTAGTTCAAGCAGCTCCATAACTATTTACATACATTGAGCTTCACATACACATCTGGCAACATTTGAGATGGTTTAGGGTATTTGAGATGCCTGAGTAATTTCTGTATGGGCTCAGGACCTACAGCAGACCAGTATTTTCCAGCAGCAGTATCTAGAAGCTTGATAGGCTGTTGCAGGGCATTTCAGACAGCTTTAGATGCCTGTATATCTAGTTCAGTGAATCCCACAAGGAACCATGATTTAATCCATGGTAAAATGTTAATAATGTGATGTGATAAATTGCTCCAGATGAATGCTCTCTCTAGACTTTCATGTCTGTGATCATAATCTTCACAGTTTTGCTATGGTTCCTAAACAGTTTAATATTCTCAGTGTGCCGTCTGAGATGGTATTTTATAGAAATGCATTAAATTTTTTTCTTATTTTGTGAAGCAGAATTCACAATGTATTTTAATCTAAGTTTTAAGACCAGCTGATGTATATAAACCCATGTACATTTTGTGGAGTTCTCCCTGGAGAATTCTGGTTACCTGGTTTATGTGATACTTAACTCTATACTCTTGGAAACCACAGGTAAAATTAAGCTTAACATCTTTATATCGCTAGCTGGATATAAATATTTGTCACAGATAATGTCAACTAGCTAGTTGTATAGTTCAGTACTGCAGATTGACTACTATAATATCAATTGCATCAAATGAAGCATGAACATTCTGGTAAAGAATAGTGAGTTACTTTTAACATCCAGGCTAATGTGTCTTCACCTGGCAAGGAAGAGGAAAATCTATATATGGTAATCGTTGCAAACTATTTCATATTATCTGTGTTTTAGGATGTTCAGGAATGAAATAACTTCATCGACCTTTTTGTCTCAAGGACAGAAAGTTGTCTCACTAGGGCAAAAGGTTGCGTAAGAGGCAGATCATGGTTTCAATCCACATTTAATCCCATTTCTGATAATTATGATGTTCAGGAGTTCTAATGCAAAATGTATTTGTTAGTCAAATGGGTTCTTAAAACAGAAAATGGAGGTGGCTTTCAATTAAAGCTATCTTGCACAACATTGTCCTCTTTGTAATTAATCTTCTTGTTGGCATAAATTTGCAGCTTTCGGTGCAATTTATGAAGTGCTCAGATTTGCATATGCCTTCATTGCTTTGGTATGAATGTGCACAGTTGTATTTTGTAAGCACTGGTCTTGGAGCGTAGTTGTCCACCGAATGGTCCAAATCTCACCGCTATGAATTTTTCGGAAATTACTTGGTAGGTTTGAAGAACGCTTTTGGAACACAGTAATTGTCTCACCCAAACATTTATCAAACAGGAATAGGTAATGCTATGGCTCAGTGGATAACTAAGCTAATATATAGCTTTTGCTTCTGAAAGGGAGGAGCCCCTGCTCCAAATTATCCTGTCTGTCTTAAAACTTTAGTCTTTGACTAATGTCCCATTATA